TCGCCATCTTTGATCAAGCGAGCGCACAGCGAGCGCACAGCGAGCGCTCGTGTGTCGTTCAGGAGGCGCTGCGTTCGTTCATCGAGCGTTCGCATCGAGCGCTCGCTCTCCTGAACACGCCTCCGGTTGGCAGCTAGATACGTCAATCATCTGCGACTTACCAAATCCACGAGGCCATATTCCAAGCTTTCACACATAGGCTAGTATTCACGCGTGCACCAACGCTCACAAATGCCCTAGACATGTAGGCCATAGAGAAATATACACGAGGCGGGTGCACGTCCTGTTTGTCGTTGCAGTGAAAACGGTGTAAACATGTTTTCCCATTTTCGTCGTAGGGAAATATGCACGGGGAAGAATAATTCTAAAATAAACAATCTCCAATTTAAACGCTCCGGCGCCTACAATTTAAACATACCGGCGCACTGTTACACTCCCAAAAAAGTGAAGGATTTAAAAACTAGCAGTTTTAGCATAGATTTATCTCAAATATAAGATAAGTAAAATATACTTGCCCATAGAATCTTGTGTAGTGAATTGTTTATAATTAAGTTTAATTTGCTAGCCATTTGAATGTAAATTGTGTTGCCATGTAAAAAATGTGCCCACATCCATTAGTGTGTGCATGCTTGCCTGTACATGCATATATGTCTGTATACCTGCAGGTTTCACTTTGAGTCTTACTATACATGGTGTCTTCATTACTTAAAGTGATTACGTCACCGTAAATAGTAAAAATAAAATAAAAATTCCCGCTTTTTTACAAAATGTAAATAATTCTGTTCACTTTTTATGGTTAAATTGCTGCATTATACTTCCTATTTTACTATATTGTTCGATGTAAAATACACTCGTGACTCATACATAGCCCATAGCAAGCAATTAATGTCAGGATCATAATATCAAATCGTCCAGGTTTTTCGGATTTTTAACTAGTTGGGAAACAATCTTATCAGGTAAGAATTTGACGATACATTTAGTCCCGTTAGTACTTACTTTTAATGTAAAAAAATGGCAACAAAATTTTTACAAAATACACCATAGAAAATTCGTGACGTAATCAATTTAATTACATGTTTGATTTTAAAGGAACCTGCTTACTACACTGAAGTTCATCATGTCAATGGGGATGGGGAAGATGCAGGAATAGTGTACTGTGAAATGCAAGCCAGAGAGAACACTGGTGAGAGCAAGGCACATCTGGCTATGCTTCGTGCTATTTATCCAGGAGAATGTGGATATAAGTCAGAAACTGGTGGTATAATGGAAAATCTAAGAACAAGTACATCTCACAAGAAGGTATGTGTAGTCTCTGTTAAATTTATTAGGATCTCATCATTTAATTAGTTAATTGATTAATTAATTTGTCATCATTTAGAAGCTGGGCAATTAAGAGCAGTGAACTCTAGGTTAGGCTCATAAAGTCTATGTCCCCCAGGGTACTGCCGGAACGTACCCTGGTAACGATCTAGCTGATATGGTTAGGGTTAGAGTTAGGGAGTAGGCGTAGGCGACTCCCTAGACTCGTTAGTGGAGTAGGCGAGGTACGGTCCGGCATATTAGATAGTAGTATTTAGTACCAGGGTACGTTTCCGGTACCCAGGGTACGTTCTGGCAGTACCCTAGGGGACATAGACCCTATCAGCATAGGTTAGTGCATGTGCAAATGTTGTACTGAAATAGTATTTCAAAGTTGGTTTGATTATATCAGGATTATATCTTAATTGGTATGTTGCCAAGAAAGGTATTATAACACTATCACTATTTTTTAGCTCAGCTGACGAAGTCAGATGCAGCTTGTAGAATCGCATGATTGTCCGTCCGTCCCTCCATCCGTCCGTCCGTCAACAGTTGGGCACAAATCTTAACCACGCGACGTACGGTCTTGATATTCGGAACGTCGGGGGGGATCGCGAAAAGGACTCGGGATGTCGAATTTGGGAGGTCAAGGGTCAAAGGTCAAGATGTGTCAATGGAGGGGGAATATTTCTCCCTTAACTTAAGGTATAGGAGGAAATACGGAATTGCGGCACAAATCTCAACGGCTCGACCTACGCTCTTAATATTCGATGTGTAGTGTGATGGGAAGAAAACCCATTGCCAGCGCGAAATTGGAGGTCAAAGGGCAGTGGGGGAAAGGTCAGATATCAGACATTTTCTGAGGACATGGTCTAACGGACCGAGTGAAAACCTTTTTGTTTCAGCGGTGACCTACCG